TATTAGAATAGCACCTGACTTCTTAATAGAGATTCAAAAACCCAGAAGGGCCTGGACAGATGCTCCATAAATTCTATGAGACCACAGATACCTACCCAGACCACTATACTCAGCAAAATTTTCAAACACAATGGATGAAAAAAGGAAGTCATTCCATGATTTAAAAAAGAAAAAAATTCAAGCAGTATCTGTTTACAAAATCAGCCCCACACAAGGCACTAGGAAAACTTCAACCTGAAGAAATTAACCACACTAAAGAAAACATAAAGAATAAATAGTCCAAGACCAGCAAATTAAAAGAGGGAGGAAAAAGCCCCACACCCCAACAACAAAATAACAGGAATCCACAAGCACTGCTCATCTGTAATTCATAACATCAGTGTTCTAGATTCACCAATGAAAAGAGACAGATTAGATTTAAAAAATGGGATCCATCCTCCTGCTGCATCCAAGAATTACAATTTAACATCAAGGATAAACATCATGTCAGGGTAAAAAAATAGAAAAGGCAAATGGACCCAATAACCAAGCTGGTGTATCTACTTTAATATCTGACTTCAAACAAAAACTAAACATAAGAGGTAGGGAAGGAAACTACATAGTCAAAGGAAAAATCCACCAAGAAAGTAAAGTAGTGCAATTCTGAACATCTATGCACCAAATGAACACAGCGCACCTGTGTTCATAAAAGAAACACTACTACTGCTAAAATCACATATTGACCCTTACATAGTGACAGTGGGTGACTTCAATACCTCCCTCATGCCTTATATAATTCATCCAGACAAAAACTAAACAGAGAAATGCAGGAGCTTACTGATGTCATAAATCAAATAGACCTAACAGATATTTACAGAACATTCCATATAAACACAAAAGCTATACTTTCTTCTCAGCACTTCGCGGAAATTTCTCCAAAAGTGAACACATACTTGGATACAAATCAAGCCTAAACAGATACAAGAAAATTGAAATAACTCCCTGTATCCTGTCAGAACACCACATACTAAAGCTGGATATGAACAGCAGAAAGCTTACAAACTCATGGAAATTGAACAATTCACTACTGAATGAAAAATGGGTCAAGAAAGAAATTTAAAACTTTTTAGAATTGAATGAAAATGAAAACACAACATACCCAAACTTATGGGACAGGATGAAAGTGGTTCTAAGAGGCAGTTCATAACACTAAGTGCCTACATTAAAATTTTTTTGAGAGATCAAAAATTAGTTTCTTAACAGGTCATCTGAACACTCTATAACAAAAAAAAGAAAGAAAAAGAAATCACACCAAGAGGACTTGAGAGCAAGAAATAAACTCAGGGCTGAAATCAATAAAATAGAAACAAAAAATAATGCAAAGAGTCAATGAAACTAAGAGTTGGTTCTTTGAGAAAAGTCAATCCACGTGACAAACTCTTAGCCAAATTACCAGTCTTAGTGTTTCTATTGCTGGGATGAAACACCATTCTGAAAGCAAAGGTGGGGAGGAAAGTGTTTATTTGGCTTACACTTTCACTAGCCCATTATTGAAGGAAGTCAGGACAGAAACTCAAACAGGGCAGGAATCTGGAGGCAAAAGCTGACGCAGAGGCCATGAGGGGTGTCTCTTACTGGTTTTCTCCACATGGCTTGCTCAACCTGCTTTCTTATAGCACCCAGATCCACCAGCCCACGGATGGCACCACCCACAATGGGCTGGGCCCTTCACATCAATCACTAACTGAGAAATTGCCCTACAGCTGGATCTTATGAAGATATTTTCTCAGTTGAGGCTCCTTCCTCTCTGATGACTCCAGCTTGTGTCAACTTGACATAAAACTATCCAAGGCCTTGCCTAAAAGGCAGAGACAGAAAATCCAAATTTACAAAATTAGAGATGAAAAGGGGGACAAAACAGATACCAAGAAAATCTAGAGAGAGAGACTCATAAGGGCATACTTTAAAACCTGTACTCTTCCAAACTGGAAAATCTAAAAGAAATGGATAATTTATCAATACATACCACCTACCAAAGTTAAATTAATATGATATAAGTAATTTAAATAGATCCCTAGTGAAACAGAAGCAGTAATTAGAAGTCTACCAAACAAAAAGAGCCCAGGGCAAGAGGTTTTAGTGCAGAATTCTACAAAGCATTCAAAGAAGAATGAATTCCAATACTCCTCAAATTATTCCACAAAACAGAAACAGAAGGAAGATTGCCAAATTCTTTTTATGAGGCCAGAGTTACCCTGATACCCAAACCACACAAAGGTGCAACAAAGAAAGAGAATTACAAACGCATTTCCCTTATGAAGATAGATGCAAATATTCTCAGGAAAGTATTTGGGAATTGAATGCAAGAACACATCAAAAAGATCATTCACCATGGTGTTGGAAGGTACTCTGCATGCTTTCAAAGGAGAAATGCAAACAACTCAGCTTCGATCTACAGTGATGACTTACACGGAAGATGTGCTAATATAATAGTAGCACACTTGTGGGAGCAACCAACTAACATTTGATCAGATTTAAGGTCCACTCCATGAGATGGAAACCATCTGACACTACTCAGGTGTCTAAAACCCAAGACTAGAAGCCAGGGACCTAGGGGAAAATTAAATAAAAGGTTGCTACTAAAAGGATGTAGCAATTAAGATTCCTGGTGACATTCTGCTATATTCATAAATCAGTATCTTACTTAGCCATCATCAGAGAAGCTTCCTCCTGCAGTAGATGGGGACAAATACAGAGACCCACAACTGGACAATGTACAGAGAGTGAGAGAGCTTATAACACTCACTCCTAAACCAGATGTCTCCATGAAATCCTTTCCCTCAGGCCTCAGGAAACACTGTGGAAAAGACTGTAAAAGGCAGTGGGAATGGTGGACACCAAGGAAACAAGGTCTTCTAAACACAGCACCACTGACACACATATAAACTCCCAGAGACTGGCAGCATGCACAGGGCCTGCAAGTGTCTCCACCAGATTGGGTACTAGATGCCTGTTCTGTTTTGTTGACTAATTAAAAAAAAGAAAGAAAGAATGTAGATTTGGATGGGAGGGGAGGTGGAGAGGATCTGGGAGGAGTAGGGGAACCATAATCAGAATATATTATATGAAAGATCTATTTTCAATAAAAGAAAAATAGGGGAAAAGGCTTTTTTAATCTTTTTATTTAGAGATAGGGTCTCATTATGTAGCCCTGTAGAACCTGTAAGCTGGCATGCAACTCCCAGAGATATGCCTCTCTCTGCCTCCCATATACTGGGCTTAAAGGTATGTGCCACATGCTGGGCAAAGGAAACTGTCAGAGAAGAAACAGCCTACCACATGGGAGAAAACCTTTATCTTTTATTGAGAATAGAGCAAGGCATGGGGTTCAAAATGTGAGGAGGTGGGGATAAACTGGGAGGAGATGGGGCAGGTGAAACTGTGATTCTAATATGTTGTATGGAAAAATTATTTCAATTTTAAAAAGTACCATATTTATTCTACAGAAGAAAGAAATCAGAGTTAGACAGTTTGGACTAAAACCCAGTCTTTTGATTTCATGAATTGGTGGTATCAAGAATGAGTCTCTTAGCCAGGCAGTGATGGCACACACCTTTAATCCCAGCGCTCAGGAGGCAAAGGCAGGTGAATCTCTGTGAGTTCAAGGCCAGCCTGGTCTACAGAGCAAGTTCCAGGACAGCTAGTGCTACATACAGAAACCCTGTCTCAAACAAACAATGAGTCTCTTTCCCCATTGATAAATTTTACCACCAATAAAATGTTTATTGTCTTTTAACATATGTATTTAAATTTTCATGGTCTTCCCCTCAACCCAAAGATAACTACCAAAGGTGACTCTCACTCAGTAGTGACTAATCCTGAAGACCTGACCAAATCTCTCACCTCTTTCAAAAGTACTTTAAAGACAGCTTTCAAGTTTAACCTTGCCATTATAAAATAATTATGACTATCCCAGTGTTTGTGTATATGGGTAGATATTTATATGAATTGCTATGAGATACATCTTGTTCTCAATAAGACCTTAAATTGTTAATAAAGTTAATATACAATAAAATAATGTACCTAAAAAAGAAAAAAAGAACACCCTCAAAGATCCCTTCCGCGTTCATCTCTCCAATAATACACGATACAGCAGTGTTAAATTATTTTTCTTTCAACCGGGCGTTGGTGGCGTATGCCTTTAGTCCCAGCACTCAGGAGGCAGAGGCAGGTGGATCTCTGTGAGTTTGAGGCCAGTCTGGTCTACAGAGTGAGTGCCAGGACAATCCCCAAAGCAATACAGAGAAACCCTGTCTCGAAAAACATATATATATATATATATATATATATGTGTTCACTAAAATTAAATAAAAATTTTATGCTCTAAAA